AGGTAAAAAGCTGAACCTTGAATGCAGTTTAAAAGCTTTGACACAAACAGAACGTATCTGTCAGCACGGGTGACATGAATATTCACAGAGAAATGTCCTGAGTGGAAACAGCAGTGACAGCGAAGTTTCACTCCAGTTTTGTGGCTTTTAGGAAAATGATTGTTTGTTTGTTGTTTTTGTTTGTAACATTTTGTAGTGATGGATAAAAAAAATCCTTTCTCACTTTAAATAGACATTAACACTTCTTCTCCTACAGGGGGCGCTGTGAATGCAGTTGTCTGTTGAATGCAGTTCACCTGACTTCAACCAAAATGAGTGAGAGAGAGATACTACTTTTAGTAGTATTTTCAACATTACGTCTCCAGAACTTTGTTTGGCAAAAGACTGTGCCACATGTTGACATCAAACTAAACATTTTAAAACGTCATAACTCTATTGTTAGTATCTAATAATCCTACAACTGTATTTTGTATTTAGAGTCAATACTTGGACAGGATGATAATAATAATAACCCAGCGTTCTGTTGACTTTTGTTTGTTTGTTTTCACATGTAAACACAGTGAAACATGGAAACAGATTCTATAAAAATCCAAACCTGAATTTGTTGTATTTTTTTTCCAGCATCTGTAGAAAGTAAAAAAGCCAAATCCAGGTGCAGAGAAAACTGGCTTTAACAACGTGTTATTAAACACCGAGAATGTGCAGAACCACAAAACCACAGCCTGGGAACCAGCAGAGGTGAGAGTGAGTGTAAAAGTGAAGAGAAAGTAACAAGGAGGAACTGGGAGCGGAGGAGTGGGACCGGGGGGGGGCAGGGGTAAGTGAAGACAGGTGAGAGTAACCAGACACAGGTGAAGCACTTCAGCTCCAATCACACAACGCAGGTATCACAGGAGGACATGGAAGACAAGACAAGGACGTGTCCAGATGTTCAGACTGGAGAACTCAAATGACAACGATCACAGAATGAAGTCACTTTTAGGTTTAAAAAACAACAACAACAAGGGTCTAAGAAGGAGGAGTAGGAGACGTCGGGATATTATTCATAGGGTCTAAGAAGAGTAGGAGACGTCGGGATATTATTCATATTTTTGGAGTTTGAGTTTGGTCAAGGACAGACCCGCCCGTTCCCGCAACACAAAATAGTTACCCCCTGTGTAGACACACACACACACACACACCTCAAACCCACGCCCAGTTCCAGTGGAATCGACTGCTGGCGTCTCCGAGCCTCCTGCTCTAATATCCAGGAACTACTCCCACTTGCTACTGTCCTTGTCCCTGGCTCCCTGTGTGTGTCCCTGGTAAAGCTTCATTACTGGTATAGCTATATTTGTGGGGACATTCTTCCCAAAAATAACCTTGGTTTTTGGGACGCCTTTTGTCGTGGGGACAATTTTCAGGTCCCAACTGAGTAAGACATTATTCCGAGGTTCAAGATTGAGATTTGAGTCAAGATTAAAATTAGGCTCAGATTAGAGTTTGTTACACTGTAGATTAACAAAGAAATGTCTACACTGGGCTTTACTTTTGCTAACACAATAAGCTAGGTTAGCATGTGTCCTGGTCTTCTGTGTCAATCGTATTAATCCAAAGCTGACAGTGGTTGTAAACTCAGTGCAGCCTGATTAAACACTGGAAAAGGCGCTGTAACAAAAACACGACAGCCTGAAATAGAGGATGTGTAAATGAAAGCTAAGGTAAACAGGGAAATCGAACTCTCGCCAATGATAATATCCCATGAAGTCATCGTTAACTGGTGTCGTATTGTGTTTTAATAAGTTTCATGTCTGAACTTTAAAGCCTACCTACACTTTTTTTTTCTATTAAAATATCACAAAATGAATCAAATTATTATCTTTCTCTGCTGGGGATTTACATATTTTTACAGAAATATAATTTAGTGCTGTATTTGAAAAAGAAATTCTCATTTTTCTTGCAACAGACTCAAACATTATGTCACTAGATCCTCTCTAATGAAACGGCAGGTTAGAAAATATCAACAATTGTGCTGTATTTGAAAAAAAATCATTTATCTTGCAACAGACTCAAACACTATGTCACTATATCCTCTTTAATTAAACGGCAGGTTAGAAAATATCAACAATGGCTGAAAGAATATGTAAAGCAGATTAAAGCAAACACGTTGTTTTGGTTAGCATAGCTACAACTAGCCAATCATGGAATAGCTAAGTCTAAGTGGTAAACTGCATGTTACCTAGCATATAAAGCTAAATTCAAAAGCACATTTCTGAGACACTCCGTATTCTACTATTATATGAATCATATTTTATCTTCAGCCATTCAATAATATTAAATATATTCTCAAACATTAGCGTCTGTGAGGAGAGAGAGAGAGCACTAAAGCAGTTCCTTGTCATTCATCTGATAAGATTTTCTGTAGAACAAGATGGTAATGTCATTAACGTTTTAAATGTGATTTTAAATGTCTTTGTGTGTGTGTGTGTGTGTGTGTGTGTGCTTAAAAGGGATAGTGTCCTGGTACCACACCTTCACCACAGAGGAAATTTGGCAGCGACTCCAGACTTTGTGGCGAGAAAGAAAGAGAGAAAAAGAAGGTGGGAGAACACGGTAAGAGGGACAAGTTCCTTATGATTTCTGATAAAACACACACACACACACACACACACACACACACATGCTTGCTTACTCATACACACACACACACATGCGCACACACACACAAACACATGTGCACCAGCATTCTGGACAAGAAACCAAGACACAATAGCATCGTAATGGGTGTGTTTACCAGTGTGTAAGTGTGTGTGTGTGTGTGTGTGTGTGTGTATGTGTGGGAGAGGTCATGTTCACACACCGTTCTATTTTAGAATGCCCCCAAGAAGGGAAGTGTGTGTAATGATGGATGGGACACACATACACACCGTTAACATGGGTCACAGTGGGAATCCCCTACCTCTGTCACTGACTGTCAAACACACACACACACACACACACACACACACACACAGTTACAACAAGGGATCCGTCTCTCACTGTTCAGCAACACCAGGCAAAAATATTTTCAGTCTGATTTCTTTTCTTTTTGGCTAAAAATTAAATTAAAATTTAAACGTAGCTAAAACTGTTTTCACAGATTTTTTCAAAAGATCAGTGAAGGCATCACCTGTGTTCAGTCAGAGCTCAGATCTTTACACTTTACAACTTTACTTCTTCCGACATCAGACATTCAGTCATAAAAATAGTCATCACTGCAGTACTTGATGTTTGTGAACACTTGGCAGAGAGGAGTGGAACGTTTCCCTGAAGCAAAGACGGTTGTTAGCTGCTAAGCATTTGCAGAAACAAAGGGAAGTTTTTAACTGAGAGAACTTTGCAAATATATAAATATATAATCTATAATCTATATATATATATATTATATATATAATATATAAAAAAAGATAAGTGGATTAAAAGTCAAACTGGAGCGTTCGTTTCTACCTGTTTAGAGTCGGACGAGCACAAAGCTGCAACTACTTCAATAAACACAATCAAACAAACCCCAGCTCTCACTGGAAACTGCAACCTACACAGAGACAGTCGGCTTCCGGTTGCACTGTCAGCTCTCTGTCTGTCTCTGCGTCTGTCTATTCATAGCCACGTAGCGGAGCTTATCATTTCTTATCCTGTAATTAATGCACTGCAGCGCCGCAGGACAATATATGACCTTTCCCACCGAGCACAACGCCTCTGTTCTCCAGTCTGACACTTGTTTTTGTTTCTCATCTCTTTGCCTTTTTGTCTTTGTTTGCTCATCAGTCCCTGTCATTTTCTGTCTCTCTTAAGCGACTCTCACGCTAGCGTTCTCACACACTTTGCCTCCTTGACAGAAATTCTCATCTATTTACTTGTTGCTTTTGAATCCATTTTTTTTTTCAGGCCCCAAAACTTTCTCTCCAAACTCAAGACATGGGAGGCGGAAACTCAGGATATCAGGAAATGATTGTGTTTTTGCACAGACTGACACACGGGAAGGTGAAGGTCGGTTGATAAAATAAATGCACAATGGAAGGTGACAATTAGGGTAAAAAACATATATATATATATATATATACCCATATATATACATACATATATATACACATACAGTATATACAGTACATAGACATATATATACACATATACATATATACTCATATACATATATACATATGTATATATACATATATATATACATACATATGTATATATATATATGTATATATACGTATATATATACATATACATATGTATATAAATGTAGACACGTGGTTCCAAAACTGTGGTGACAGCAGAAAAATGAAGCAATCAAAATTATGGGATACATATATAGCATGTGCTGCTGACATTTTCAACATATAAAGGGTGTGTATGAAATATATTGGACAAACATAGTTGTGTGACAGCTATGGTTAGCGCTGGAATGTGTCCGTCCACAGAAGAAC